CTGAGACCTGTAAAAAACAAAAACAAAAACAAAAAACAAACCAAAATTACTGGGGCGCCTGGGTCACTCAGTCAGTTGGGTGTCCGTCTGACTCTTGATCTTGGCTCAGGTCATGATCTCCTGGTTGGTGGGATCGAGCCCCACATTGGACTCTTTGCTGACAGCATGAAGCCTACTTGGGATTCTCTTTCTCTCCCTCTCTGCCCCTACCCTCCTTCCTCTCTCTCTCCCTGTCTAAACATTAAAAAAAAATAATAATCCTGACGTTTGCCAGTACTCGTTATGAGCCAGGCATTGACCCCAATTACTCCTGTGAATTTGTACTTAGGGCTTCCTTCTAAGGAGTGTGGTAACAACTGTCATTCCAGTTTTATAGACAGGCAACAGGCCCAGAGCTCAAGTGAGTTGCCCAAGGTCACAGAGCTGGTGACTTGAACCCGGGTAGCGGGTCTCAGAGGCTCTGTGCCTGACCATACACTGCTTCTCTTGACCCACAATGAGAGCATGGGTTCTCAGGAGTAGGGATGGGAGCTGGCAACATGATGTCTTCTGTCTCTGAGCTTTTGGCATTGGACACCCCGAGCCTGGAAATTCAGGCTCTGTATCTTGCGGTGAGCAGGAGGATGGGGTGGGACTAGGTTTCCCTGTCCATACCTGCCCCTCCTCCCACCTCCCCCTTCATTTAAAATCCCTCATTTAGTCTTGTCTAGAATAGGCAGGTGTTGAGCAGAGAGCTGGAGAATGGGACCTCGTCTCGTTAAATCCTGGCAACCCCAGAGGGAGGCATTTGCACAGAGGAGGACGCCCTTAAAGGAAGGATCTCCTTTCTGGTCACTGGTCCTGCGTGAAGGCTGTAGAGCCAGACCTGGCACGAAGAAGGGACCCCTTCTTCCTAGTCCTTCTTTCGGTCCCACTTGGCCTTCCAGCGGGGTGTGGAGGATATGTCTGCAGCAGGGAAAAGCCCTAGACCACATCCAGCAACGTGGGAGACAATGAAAGGTCCTGTGGGCCAGGATAGCTTCTACTGCCCCTTGGCTCCCTCTTCTAGGGACTACGGCATAACAAGGTCTCTGTGCTTGAACGATGCTGTGGACTAGGAGTATGGGAATGCATCTGTGTTGACGGGCACACACATGTGTCCTGTCTTTTGGGGGCCCTGGGTTTAGGAGCTCAGGTTCTAGAGTCAGATTGCCTGGATTCAAAGACTGGTCCACGTAAGCAACTATAACCCTGGGCAAATTAGTTACCACTGGGCCCCTGTTCTCTCTTCTTGAAAACCAGACCCCACATAAGAGTGAAAACATATGGCATCTGTCTTTGTCTGTATGACTTATTTCACTTAGTATCACACTCTCCAGTTCCATCACGTTGCTACAAAGGGCCATATTTCATTCTTATTGCCACGTAGTACTCCACTGTGTATATAAACCACAATTTCTTTATCCATTCATCAGTTGATGGACATTTAGGGTCTTTCCATAATTTGGCTATTGTTGAAAGTGATGCTATAAACATTGGGGTACAAGTGCCCCTATGCATCAGCACTCCTGTATCCCTTGGGTAAATTACTAGCAGTGCTATTTCTGGGTCATAGGGTAGATCTACGTGGATCCTTAACAGAAGACCATGGGAGAGGGGAAGGGGAAAAAAAAGAGAGGGAGACAGCCAAACCATAAGAGACTGTTAAAAACTGAGAATAAACTGAGGGTTGATGGGGAGTGGGAGGGAGGGGAGGGTGGTGATGGGCATGGAGGAGGGCACTTGTTGGGAGGAGCACTGGGTGTTGTATGGAAACCAATTTGACAATAAATTTTATATTTAAAAATAAACATATATAAAGAGAAAACCAGGCCAACTGTACCCACCTCTGAGTTTCTAGGATGAAATTCTTAGAAGGCACTGGGCTCCGAGAAAGTTCTCCCACATCTGTTTATCTTTGGGGTAGTTTTTTCTAGATTCCAGGTCCTAGTTTTTGTTTTTTTTTAACGTTTATTTATTTTTGAGACAGAGACCGAGCATGAACGGGGGAGGGTCAGAGAGAGGGAGACACAGAATCCGAAACAGGCTCCAGGCTCTGAGCTGTCAGCACAGAGCCAGACGCGGGGCTCGAACACATGGACCGCGAAATCATGACCTGAGCCCAAGTTGGCCACTTAACGGACTGAGACACCCAGGTGCCCCTAGGTCCTAGTTTTGAGGACGATGCTGGATGGGCAGTATCGGAACCAGGAATATCTTTGCCCTCTCCCTGAGCATCCCTTCTGTCCTACCCAAGACTATCTCAACAGATTTTGGGTAGGTGAATCTGTAGTACAACAGGCTTTCCTAGAGAGACAAAAGGAAGTCAAATGGGTGTGTGTGTGTGTGTGTGTGTGTGTGTGTGTGTTCTTTATACAAAGGAATTGGACTTAAATTCTAGGCTGTCTTCTTGGAACAGCCTGCCTCTTTTGACAGGTGGCCCCAGCAAGATCTAGAGCCTTGAATTTAATGTGTCAAAATATAGATTGTGGCAGCAAAGCTATAACCTACAAGGATTCCATCACTGGGTTTATGTGCAAGAGAAGAAGGGCAATATGTCATGTAGTTGGTGTACAGATAAATGGAGCCAGTGGTGAGGGATGATCTTAGACTACTGAGCTATGCTCCATGAGATTCAAATTCAGGTTCCTGTTGCTAGGAGAGCTGGTCTAACCCTGGACAGACCCTACAGGCAGGCTTTATGGGGCTCCACAGAACTGGGACTTTTTTGGCCAAGACCTCCTTGGTGGAGAGTGATGGGTCGTAGTTCTTCAAAGCAACATGGGAACATGAGGAGGAAGCCAGGACCCAGCTGGCTACCCAGACCAAGTCCTGCAAACCTTGACAACCAATGGAATTATAAATATTAGATCCATGTTCTCTTTAGAGCCACATCCTTTTCAGGGCATTGGCTCATAACTAAACACCAGGCAATGGAATCTGAATTACTACTGTGTGACTTAGACACAGAAGGGCCCTTTAGCTCATGAAGAATGGGGCATTCAGAGTGGTTTTGTGAAACCCATGGAGGGAGGTTTAGGTTAAAACCCGATTCTTTGTGTCTTTTTTTCTTAACAATATTTAATCAATAGAAAGCTTTTAAGAATTTGGTATAGTTAATGATCGTACATAGAAGCAGTCAGGATACCAGTTTATATTACATTTTTTAATGTTTATTTTTGAGAGAGAGTGTGAGCAGGGGAGGGGCAGAGAGAATGGGAGACACAGAATCTGAAGCAGGATCCAGGCTCTGAGCTGTCAGCACAGAGCCCTATGTGGGGCTTGAACTCATGAACTGCAAGATCATGACCTGAGCCAAACTCAGATGCTTAACTGACTGAGCCACCAGGTGCCCCTACATTTTTAATATTTGAAAACACTAGAATTCTTTTTTTTTTAAGTAGGTTCCATGCCCAATGTGGGGCTTGAACTCATGCTCCAATGTGGGGCTGAGATTAAGAGTCACATGCTCTACTGACTGAGCCAGCCAGGCACCCCTTGGTACTTTTATTTCTGTAGTACTCTGGTATCCAGAAATATTGGAGTGGCTTTTCTGTGCTGGGTCTTGTTCTACATACTTGGGATAAATCAGTGAACAGAGGCTAGCCACCCATGTCCCTCCAGTGGGGGAGGTGGGGAGAGAGGCTCTGAACATGAGAAATATGTACACCACATGGCATGTTAGGAGTTGACAAATGAAATTGGAAGAGAGAAAGGTGAATGAGGAGAGCCTCGGGTGTGGGCTGTAGAGATCAGTTGCAGTACTAATCAGGACTGTCCAGCACTGTTGAGCTAAAATTTGAGCAAAACCTCAGGTGAGGTAGTGATCCATGTGGGCGTGGGGAGGACAGCACTCCTGACAGGGGATGGCTGCGTCCAAAGTACTTGAGTGGATGGAGCTGGAGGATGAGATTCCTTTGGTCTTTTCAGTCCCAGGCTTACCAGTTGGTCCTGTGGAGAGAGCATCTGTCACTGGTCATTTACAGCCTGGGTATCTCAATATCCCACCATCACTGTTTGTTGCAGAGATAGCACAGACACAGGGATCCCAAGATCCAAGCCAAGAAGAACCAGATTTCCCAGAAGAAGAAAAAGGTTTGTATGCTACTTGGCGGTGATGATGGACAAATTGCTTGATGGGGCATCCATTTTACTGGGTCTATAATTGCCACCTTCTCTCAATTGTTCATCACTTTACAGCATGCGAGAAATTCACCCCTCCCAACCTAGTCTTCCACTACTGCTTTTCTCCCCCCTCATGTCTGTTTATCTATTTTGAGAGCAAGAGAGTGTGCATGAGCAGGGGACGGGCAGAGAGAGAGAAGAGGGAGAATCCCACGCAGGTTCTACACTGTCAGCACGGAATCTAATGCGGTGTTTGATGTCATGAACCATAAGATCATGACCTGAGCTGAGATCAAGGGTTGGACGCTCAACCAACTGAACCACCCAGGTGCCCCCACTGTTGTTGATTGAATGATAAGTTAGCATAAACTGGATAACTTCTCTGACTCCGCTCTCCAGTTCTTAGATACCAGTGTCTGTTTCTGGACTTTTCATTAATAGGTAACTGTGTTTTGTTTTGTTTTGTTTTGTACCCATTGATTGTGGGAGACTTTCATGTTGAAAAAGTAATATACACAGTTAAGGAACAGGCTAGGTTTTACCAAATAGATGTACTAGTATATGATTCAGAAAGAATCGTGGAAACTTAAAACTTGTAATGAGAAACATCAACCTTTTGCACATCGCTTGAGTTCTATTCTGTAGAAGCCACCCTCTGCCACTCTGGGTTGCCACTTTCATTATTTCTCTGCTCAAACGGGATTAACATACACTGCAACCTCTTAGTTTTTCAATCAATTATCATGGTAGGTAAATATCTCCCTTCTCCAATTACTTATTTTTTGTGGAGGAAAGGATTTTCAGTGTTGGGGATATAAACCAATGCTGAGCCACATAATCCATCAGGATCACGTGCTGTATTTGTTTTCCAGAGTTGCCGTAATAAATTTTCACAAACTGGGTGGCTTAAGTAATGGAAGTTAACTCCCTCATGGTTCTGGATTAGTCCAAAATCAAGGTGTCACCAGGGCACCTTGGGGTACCCTGGGGCTTGAGGGGACCATCCATATTTGTTTATCCAGCTTCTGGTGGCATTCCTGGGCTTGGGGCTGCATCCCACCAATCTCTGCCTCTGTGGGCACATGGCCACCTCCTCTTTTGTGTCACAAATCTCTCTGTCTCTTGTGAGAATACATTTGATTGCATTTAGGGCCATCCAGGATAAATTCCTCCCCTCAAAGTTGTTCTTTTTTTAATATTTATTTATTTTTGAGACAGAGAGACAGAGCATGAACAGGGGAGGGTCAGAGAGAGAGGGAGACACAGAATCTGAAGCAGGCTCCAGGCTCCAAGCTGTCAGCACAGAGCTTGACGCGAGGCTTGAACTCATGGACTGTGAGATCATGACCTGAGCCAAAGTCGGACGCTTAACCGACTGAGCCACCCAGGCGCCCCTTAAGGTTCTTAATTACATTTGCCACATAGGTTCTAGGGATTAGGATGTAGACATAGCTGTGTGTGTGTGTGTGTGTGTGTGTGTGTGTGTGTGTGTGTGTGTGTGTGAGTGTGAGAGAGAGAGAGAGAGACAGACAGGGGGGAGGGGGGAGAGAGACACGGTTCATCCCATTACACATACCTTTTGGAGAGAACCATTTCCTGTTTTTGTTTGAGTTAATTCCTTTTTAAACTTTCCATGCAATTATTATAATCATCCCCAAATTCTTTGGGGAGTATAATGCAATCGGATGTAACAAGGAACCCATCAGCTCCGTCATCACCGTTTCTAGACAATTCCTGAAGCCGTCCATCTTTCCCTAGTCTGTATCTGCTAGCACCTACCTCCCATCCTGGGACTCCATTTAATCTCCGTTTCCATTTTCTATTCTCAAAAGGTGCCATCCCCCTTTCCCTGGGTTCCACATCTGTCTTTCTCATGGCTATTCCAGGGGACCCATTTTATAATAACTTAGAAAAGTCCATATGAAGTAATATCTTTGAGAGTTTGCCTGATTGGAAATTTCTCTAGTGCCCTACTTGATGAATTGCTTGGGTGTAATTGTCCAGTTCAAGAGCCTTTCTCTCTGTGTTTCTGGTGTTCCAATGTCCTCTAGTGTCCGCTGTTGATAAATCTTGATTTTTTTTTTACATTGTTTGTATATGACGTATCTTTTACACTATGAAAGCTTAGGGGGTCCTCCACCCCTGTGTTCTGAAATGTCATGGAGTAACTAGGTTTTGGGTTTTTTTTTTTTTTAATTTTTTAACATTTATTTATTTTTGAGACAGAGACAGAACATGAGCAGAGGAGGGTCAGAGAGAGAGGGAGACACAGAATCCAAAACAGGTTCCAGGCTCTGAGCTGTCAGCCCAGAGCCTGATGTGGGGCTCGAACTCACGGACTGTGAGATCATGACCCGAGCCGAAGTCGGACGCCCAACCGACTGAGCCACCCAAGCACCCCCTAGGTTTTGGGTTTTTATCCCCTTAATTGGATTGGATACCAAGCAGGACATGTAAATGTAAAAAACCTGTGCTCTTCTCTCAAATATTCTTGAGTTAGCTCTTTGGCGTTAGTTGTTCCTTCTCTGTTCTTTTTCTGAAACTCTAATTAGGTGTTGTGTTTCCTGGGAGTAACCTTTAGATTGTAACTTTTTAAAACAAAACTTATTTTACTGTTTTTTTAATTAAATGTAGTTGACGCACAATGTTACATGAGTTTCAGATGTACAACATAGTGATTCGATAAGTTTACACATTATGCTGTGTTCACAAGTGTAGCTACCATCTGTCCGAATACATTGCTATTACCATTGACTTTATTCCCTGTGCTCTGCCTGTTATATCCCCCACTTCTTTACCTATTTTGCCCATCCTCCAAATGTAACGTTTTAATCTCAAGCAACTATCTTTGTTCTGGTTAAAATCATCTGAAAGATTACTTCAACTTTCTATCATACCTTCCATGAAATCTATTTGATCAATAATATTTTTTAATGTTTTATTTATTTTTGAGCACAAGCGGGGGGGGGGGGAAGAGAGAGGAGGACAGAGGATCTGAAGCAGGCTCTGCACTGTCAGCACAGAGCCTAATGTGGGGCTCGAGCTTATGAACCTGGAGATCATGACCTGAGCTAAAGTCAGACGCTCAACTGACTGAGCCGCCCAGGTGCTCCATCAATATTTTTAATGTCAAAACTCTTAACTCTATTTCCCCTTATTGGCGTCTTTTTAAAATAGATGTAATATGGGATGCTTGGGTGGCTTAGTTTGTTAAGCATCCAGCTCTTGATTTTGGCTCAGGTTGTGATCTCATGTTTTGTGAGTTTGAGCCCCACATCTGCCTCTGTGCTGGTGGTGTGGAGCCTGCTTGGGATTCTCTCTCTCTCTCTCTCTCTCTCTCTCTCTCTCAAAACAAATAAACTTAAAAAAATAAAATAGATGTAATATCTTTTAAAATATATTTTTTACAACTTTGGGGGAAGTTTTTGGTTCCTAGATTTGTTTTCTGGTTTGAGTAAAGTGGTTATACAAACAAATATAAATGGTACAGAGTGCTTAATATTCTAAATTTTTTCCTAAATAACCAATTCTACAAAGGTAACCAACTTAGAAATTATGTGTTTATGGGCCACCTGGGTGCCTCAGTCGGGTAAGCATCAGTCTCGATCTCAGCTCAGGTCATGATCTCACAGTTCATGAGTTCCAGCCCTGCATTGGGCTCTGCACTGACAGTGTGGAGCCTGCTTGGGATTCTCTCTCTCTGCCCTACCTCCGGAAGATGACCTTTCCCTTCTGATGGGTGAAAGAAAAATGTTTTTCCATTCTTTACTGCTTATTTTGAACTCCTACACAAGGGAACCGAGGTTCAAAGAAGTGGAGTGTCCACAGAGCATCGCAGTCCTAAGTATTCTAAATCTTGAAGAAAATGTGAAGGTGGGTCTTTGGTATTCCTACTCTGTGTTCTTTCCACCAGGAACATGTGTGTGCATGTAGTAAATGGAATCTTCCTCCACTGAGCTAATTAAGCCACAAACATAGAATGCAGGTACAACTATTTTCCTTAGCAGTCCCCACCCCCACGTGAGAAATCCATTGGTAATGCTGTTGGCTCTACTCTCCAGATATACCCTGGATCCATTCATTTTATTTTATTTTTAAAGTTTTTTAAACGTTTATTTTAGAGAGAGACATGGAGTGTGAGCAGGGGAGGGGCAGAGAGAGAGAGGGAGACACAGAATCCAAAGCAGGCTCCAGGCTCTGAGCTGTCAGCACAGAGCCTGACCTGGGACTCAAACTCACAAACTGTGAGATCATGACCTGACCTGAAGTGTGGTGCTCAACCGAGCCACCCAGGTGCCCCCCACCCCGCCCCATTCATTTTATATACATATGCTTTAGTTCTTCATAGGCTGTGCCAAGTGCTTCCACAGGGAACCAGAGACCTGTTGTTGCTGTTAGGTTATCAATGGGTATGTTTGACCAAACCTGCTGACTTTCACTTAGACGATCGAAGTAGCTTCTTGAGTGGGTTTCTTGCACCATAATCCCCTCTCCAAACAACAGTGACCTTTGAAAAATGTAGATAATCTCTTGGCCTTTAGAATGAAGATACTCATGACCGGCCCCTCCCCAGAGTTGAGCTCACCTATTGGGCATCTTGCTGTGTTCTAGAATGTTCTTCCTGTGTGAAGGTGTTTGTGGTAGCTTTTCACTCTGCCTGGCAACCTCTCCTTCTACATCTTGGACTGGTGGCTTCTCACGACTATGGCACTAACTCTCATCCAGAAGCCTCTGCAGATCCCTTCCCCACCTCAGAGGGCATTCTCAGTCTCTCTTGTGTCCTCGTGTTTTTTTTTTTTATTTGTGTATATCCTTAAACTATTTACTTCTACCTTGGCTCCTCTCAATCACCACATGGCCCTCCTCCAAAAGTTAGACTCTCAAAGGCAAAACTTGTTTGTCTTGTTCAAGGCTTTATATAAGGACTTAGTATTCCTGAGGCTGAACCTCCTTCTGACCATTATTGTGTTGTGTTTTGCCTCACTTCTCTGTTTTTAGACCACAGAAGAAGATACAGAGAGAGAATGAAGGCTAAAATACTGACGATGTGGGACAACATCCCTTGGCCTGAAGACCATATATACCTGCGCAATGTGACTGAAAAGGAACATGAAGGACTGAAGAGCCTCCTGTATCCTAACAGGACTGGAGCCCAGCCACAGACGATCGTCTTAGAGGGTCTAGCAGGGGTCGGGAAGACCACCCTGGCAATGAAGGTTGTGCTGCATTGGGCAGAGGGCTTTCTCTTTCATCAGAGATTCTCCTATGTTTTCTTTATCAGCTGCCATAAAGTTAGAGACATGAAGGATACCACATTAGCTGGCCTGCTTTCCTGGGACTGGCCTGACTCCCAGGCCCCCATTGAAGCTCTCATGAGTCACCCCGAGAACCTCCTGTTTGTCATCGATGGCTTTGAAGAAATGGATGTGCCCTCCACTTTGGACGAGAGTCCACCATGTAAAGACTGGTACCAGCAACTCCCAGTCAACAGAATCCTGTTCCACTTATTGAAGAAAGAGTTGGTTCCCCTGGCTACCTTACTGATCACGACCAAGGAGTATAGAACCAATGATCTTAAAAAGTTGTTACTGAATCCATGGTTTGTACAAATCGTAGGGTTCACAGAAGGAGACCGGGAGGAGTATTTCATCAGGTACTTTGGTGACCAAAACAAAGCTAAGAAAATCTTGCATTGGGTAAGAAAGAATGAATCTCTCTTTCACTTCTGCTCTGCCCCCATGGTGTGCTGGACCGTCTGTTCCTGCCTGAAGCGGCAAATGGTGAGAAATCCTCACTTCCAGCTAAGCACCCAGACCACCACCAGCCTGTACGTCTACTTTTTCTCCAGCTTGCTCGCCACAGCAGAGGTGAGTTTGTCAGACCAGAGCTGGCCAGATCAATGGAGAGCCCTGTGCTCTCTGGCTGCAGAGGGGATGTGGTTTTGGAAGTTCACATTTGCAAAGAAGGACCTCAAACACAGGCACCTGGAAGCACCTGTCATTGGTTCTCTCCTCAGGTTGAATATTCTTCGAAAGGTCAGCGACTGTGAAGATTGTGTTACTTTCACTCACCAGAGTTTCCAGGTGTTTTTGGGAGCCATGTTCTATGTGCTCAGGGGGGTGAGAGGATCCATTGGTGGTCCTCCAAAGCACCAGGAGATGAGGGTGCTTCTGAACGATGCTTTGGCTGACACAAACTTCTACTGGAACCAGATGGCTCTGTTTTTCTTTGGCCTTTTAAAAAGAAACCTCGCAGAAGAACTGGAAGATACTTTGCGTTGTAAAATGAGTCATAGGACAACGGATGAATTACTAGAATGGGCAGATGAATTAGAAAGCTATGACCTCGTCTCCAGCTGTTTTGAATTCCTACACTTCTTTGAGTGCTTATACGAGACTCGGGAGGAAAACTTTGTAAGGCAGATTTTGAGTCATCTCCTTGAGGCTGACCTCGATATCTTTGGGAGTCTACAACTCCAAGTGTCTTCATTTTGCCTAAAACACTGTCAAAGGCTAAGTAAGCTAAGGCTTTCTGTCAGCAGTGCTATCCCTCAGACGGAACTGACTTTCAACTTGGAAACTCTGGAGTGAGTAATGCAAGGCTGTTTCCCCTCCCAGATTTCTTCTTTCCAGGCTCTGTCCAAGTTCTTCCATGAAAAACTGGGGATGTGTTGTTGTGTTGTCAGTGATTATGGTTGACCAAACATATCTTCTGGTGTCAAGGTTAGTCCGTGCTTCCCTACAGCACAGCTTCTTTTTGTCTTTCCTCAGTGGTTTTTAATTGTAGATCAGAATTAACTGGGATGTTAAACACGAATACACGGGCACATGTACACATACAAATACAAATACACTAAGGTTGGAACAACTACTCTAACCAACACTGTAATAATTCTGGGCTCCGCGTGTAGAACTTTATATCCTTCAGGTGGTATAACGTGTTCTTTGTTTTTACTTTCTTCATCTAAGATAAAAAGTTTAATTCATGACTTGAATGCTCTTTTACTCTTATAAACATTGAGAGCCTACTGCAGTAAGAAAATACTAAAGAGTTAGAATTCCAATTATCCTAAGTTCTAAATATCACATGAACATTTTTTTTTTAGATTTTTTTTAAAAAAGTTTATTTTTGAGAGAGCGGGAGAGACCATCCATCCCAAGCAGGCTCTGCGCTGTCAGTGCAAAGCCCCACATGGGGCTCCAACTCACAAACTGGGAGATCATGGCCTGAGCCAAAATTAAGAGTCCTATGCTACGTGGATGGAACTGGAGGGTATTATGCTACGTGAAATTAGAGAAAGACAAATATCATATGCCTTCAATCATAGGAATTTAAGACACAGAACAGATGAACACAAGGGAAGGGAAGTAAAAATAATATAAAAATGGGGACAAAACATAAGAGACTTCAATACAGAGAACAAACAGAGGGTTACTGGAGGGGTTGGAGGAGGAGGGATGGGCTAAATAAGAAAGGGGCATTAAGGAATCTACTCCTGAAATCATTGTTGCACTATATGCTAACTAACTTGGATATAAATTTTAAAAAATAAATTAAAAAAGAGATTCTTAACCAACTGAGCCACTCAGGCACCCCCCTTTTTTTTAATCACAAAATTCTATTAGGGTAAGTTTTATTATCTACATTGAGGGAGAGAAAATTGGAGCACAGAGATTAAATCATATCATAGGTGACACAGCTCTGAGTTTATCTTAGGTCCTTTTGACTTAAAGTCTGAACTCGTAAGGAGTATCCAATGGCCACCTCACCTCACTTACATGGTTGCCTTCCTCCGAAAAGAGTGGTTGAGGATTGTTGGAATAAACCATCTGGGACTTTGAGAGCTATGCTTCTGGGGGTCACGATTTTCCTGCCCTGAACTCCAGTAAATTCCTGCACTTTCACTGGGTCTGTTTGCATCTCCAGTAGACCACACTCTGGGTGTTGGTTGAAGATCACTTACTCTAGTAACCCTTCTTTGCCTCCCTCATAAAGGACAAGGCCACATTCCAAGATACGTCAGTGGCAGGATGTTTGCTCTGTGTTTTCCAATGGGAATCTGACTGAGCTGGACTTCAGTAACAGCAAGCTTAACGCTTTTTCAATGAAGAAACTCTGTTACGAGCTGAGAAATCCAAGGTGCAAACTCCAAAAACTGACGTAAGTGTGAGACCCTCACAGTGTGAAAAATTCCATCGGAAGATAATCCAATGTCTTCCTTGGGATTATTGCATTGAGTGTCTGTTTTCCAGAAAGTAAGTTCAGGTGCTCGGGAGAATAAAATAAGTGCCCTTTATGAGCAAAACTGCTCCTTGGGCAAAGACCCAACACCCTGCCGTGTGTGGTCTTGCATGAGAGAAACGCATAGGCCAACTAGTTTTTCCATAAGACCTCTGCATGAGGCTGCTGTCTTGAGCTGGATATGAAGGAGTAGAAGACGTGTAGGATGTGGTGGAGACCAAGTGCTTGAGGAGAGCCAGAGTTCATGTGGAGTCTAGGTGAAGTGTTGTGTCTTAAGGAAAGGTGGATAGTTTGCAGTGAAGCATTTGTTCATTCAGTGAAGACCTAGCATCTCGTCTCTGTTCTGAGGTTATAGCAGTGAACAGAACAGATAATTCCTGCCTTCCTGGAGCTCACAGTGTTGGAGAAACAGATGCAAATGATCAGAGTAGTGTAGGAGACCGTGACCTCTCCCAAAGCAGGGGGGAAATCCGTTCAGGGACTCAGGAGAGGTCCTTCTTCTATCTAAAAATGCCAAGCCTCCTCTTTCACACCCTATCTAAAAGGTATTTGAGTAAAAAAAAAATAAATAAAATAAAAGATACTTGAGTAAAGACCGAGTTGTGGAGCTGAAGCATCATTCTGGACTGAAGCCTCTCTCACATGATGTAAATAGAGATCACAGGGCCTTAAATCTGGCTTGAAGGTGGCGAAGAATGGAGGTGGCTCTTGAAGGGGGGAGCCAGGGAAGAGCTGCCTGACCAAGGACAGAGTGAGTGGCTCTTGTTGGAGAAGGTGTTGGGTTGGATGCCCTTGAGTTCAGGCCAACTGATTCTGTCCTGCTGTCCCTCTGCAATTCGGTGCTACCTCAAGGTCTGAGGATCAGAAGCATGTGTTGACTCAGTTAAGAGGCAAGGATTTGGCAGTAATGACTCCCCTCAAACCTGAGGGCGCTGGCTCCAACACCTGGGAGGCAGCCTTAAACATCCTGCTTGACGATCTGCTTTTTCATCCTTCCCCCTTTCCTTCGCTCTTGGTCTTCTCACTTAGTACTAAAGATGAGGAGAAATAAACAAGAGAAAACAAGAGGAGAGATGTGTTCTCACTAGGCAGTACTGGGTTGGTGTGGGGGACACCCACCCCAAGGAAGAGTGGGGGGTTGGTTTCTGATTTAATACATCCAACTGTGCTTTGGATGTATCCAAATTTGGATGAATCCAAATCAGTTTTTGGATTCCTCTTGTATATGCACGTCCTTGAGGGAGGGTGTGCGTATGCACGTGTGTGTGTGCAAGCATGCATATGCATGGGTGTGGTAGAAAAGCGAGATGAGGAAGCACTCCCCTCCATGAGGCTACCCTCCTCCCCGGCTCTCTTCCCCAGGTGCAAATCAATAACTCCTGTGAGGATTCTGAAGGAACTTGTCCTTGTCCTGTATGGTAACCACAGGCTGACACACTTGAACTTGAGCTCGAACAACCTGGGAATTCCCGTGTCCACGATGATCTTTAAAACCTTGAGGCACTCAGCCTGCAACATCCAGTATCTGTGGTAAGTCTCTGGTTTTCTGGCTTGGTCCCCAAGGTCACCCCACAGTTCAGGGCTGCATTGGGAGGATGGGACTCAGCACGGCAGCGAAAGGCTGTAGAGAAAGATGAGCAAAGGAAACGCGCATGGGCACAGAGCAGTGCTTTGCAAAATTCTTGCCTGCCAGAGCCACCTGAGGGGGCGTGTTAAAAGGCAGGGTCCTGGAACCCACCCCCTGAGCCCCAGCAGGGCTTCTGGGTGGGTGGTGGGGGCTGGCAGCATTTCTAACAGGCTCCAAGGTGGCGCTGGACCTTGGACCACACTCTGAGTAGCCCTGACTCGGAGACCATCCTGCCAGGAGAAAGGGTGAGGAACAAGGAGAAATTGGCTTTTGGTTGTGAAGCAAGGGGGACTCCAAATGAAGATCCCTCTTCGCCGGGAGTAACTCCCTGTGTTGGGGCCTCTCTGGTAGGTTGGAATCCTGTGGCCTCACCCCTCTAGCCTGTCATCATCTCTTTCTGGAGCTCGGCAAGAACTCGAGTGTGCGCTTCCTCAGCCTGGGGGACAATGATCTCTCTGGTGTTGAGGTGAAAAGTCTGCAGGGGCCCTCGGAGATGCCCGAGTCTTCCCTGAAGGAGTTGTCGTAAGCCTTCCTGCCTTGTCTAAATAGCAGCTTTGGGGAGTCTTGGGGGAACATCCCATTGTAGTTACCCATCCCACGGACACATTCCCCGTCTTCACTCTTTCCACCTTCCTTCTTAGGGCTCTGTCTTGGCCAGTTTTGCCCTCACCTTGACTGCGGTGTCTCTCCTGCCAGTCTCCCCTAAACCCAGTGGTTTTAAACTGGTGGTGGTCTTGTCCTCCAGGGGACAGTGTCTGGACATTGACTTGGTCCTCACAATTTGGAGGGGAAGATGCTACTGGCATGTAGTGGGTGAAGACTAGGTGTGATCAATATCCTTCAATGCACTCGAGAACCCCCCCACACAAGCCCCCACCTCCACACCAGCACCACAAAGAATGTTCTTGACCAAAGGTCAGTAGGGTTGAGAATGAGAAACCTTACCTTGACCCACTTTTTTTCTCCTGGAAGCTTTTGTTCTTTATACAGTTTAATCTTTCACGATGTCTGGGTCCCAGATGTGTGGCCCAAGGGACTGAGAGTTTGAGAAAGAAAACGTGGGCATGTCTGAAGCTCGTGCTGTACCTGTGCCTTCCTCCGCAGCCTGGAGAAATGCAACCTGTCAGCAGCCAGCTATCAGGATCTAGCTTTGTACCTCACCGGTACCCAGAGAACAAGTCGACTGTGCCTGGGATTTAATCCGCTCAGAGACGAGGGCGTGAGGCTCTTGTGTGCTTCCCTGACTCACCACGAGTGTGCCTTAGAGAGATTGGTGTGAGTGTCTCCTGGCTCTGTTTCTAGAAATGACTCTGCTTGGGGGTGGGCATGGAGGAAAACAATGGGCCCTTCATTTGGGACCCGTTTCTTTTTTCTTTTTTTAATTTTTAAAAAAGTTTTATTTATTTTTGAAGGAGAGACAGAGCACGAGCAGGGGAGGAGCAGAGAGAGAGGGAGACACAGAATCGGAAGCAGGCTCCAGGCTCTAAGCTGTCAGTGCAGAGCCCGATGCGGGGCTCGAACTCACAAACTGTGAGATCATGACCTGAGCCGAAGTTGGATGCTTAACCAACTGAGCCACCCAGGCGCCCCCACTTGGGACCCATTTCTATCACTGAACACTAACACACGTCGAGCAAGTACTCCCATGTGCCTGGCACCGTTCTAAACACAGATTCTGAGTAGCACCCTCAATTTGTTGAATCAATCTCTGGGGGTTGTGCCAAGGAATTCAGTTTTAACAAGGATACCAGGAAATTTACGATTTAGTCAACCTATATCTGAGCTCCTTTATCCCAACACAGCTGGGCACCTAGGTTGGGGTGGTGGATAAGACAGAGAAGCTTCCTGCCTGTGAGGAGGGTGTAGATGGATGAGTGAGATACCAAAAAACAAAAACAAAAACAAAAGACTGGAGTGTTGTAGGAACATCCAGAGGACTCGTAAGGCTGGAGTAATGTGAGCGAGGGGGATAATGGGAATATGCCCTGGCCATGTACGAATCTGTTTTGTTTGGAGCAAGGTGGAAAGTCCTCTGAGGACTGGAGGTTGGACAGGGACAGACTCTGGACGATCACCTGGACTGCTGTTGAAGGGTAGACTATAATGGCAGCAAAAATAGGCAGCAAGCGCCTGTTGATCAAGCAAAAGGATGCATACGAATCAGCCAGGTGAGGTGGTGGGACTTCAGGGCATACGTCAAGGTACAGCCAGTAGGGCTTGCTGATGGGTCAGTGGTGGTTGAAGAACGAAAGGGACCAGGAACCAGGAATGCCCCACGGGTGGTGGGTTTGCCAGCTGGGTGAAAGGCGCTGCCGTTTTCTGACTGGAGAAAATGGGAGGATGAGGTTTGGATGTTAAGATTGGGACATGGGAACGTGAGAGGCCTATTAACCAACCACGTAAAGCTGTTGTATGTATGTAGGACTGTAGGTCTCAAGGAGGTTGTCGGGTGGGGATGAGTCCACTGGCAATGGTAGGTGCCAAGTGTCATTTCGATGGGTTTTCCCAAAACTGGATATTGTTCAGGTGAGCATAAAAGGACAAAAAGGCCAAGGGTCTTGAGGCACATCCAAGGGGGTGTATGGTGAAAGACGACAGAATCTGAGCTAGGAACTAAAAGGTTAGCACTCTCAGCACAGAGCTTCAAAGAACCAGAATATTAGTAAGTAATTCATTCATAGGTAATATGAACTAATATAACATGACAGTTATAGGTTACATTATATTTATCCCACTTATAATTACACCTATATAAGATACTTTAATATATATACATTTTTTTTTTTTTTTAATTTTTTTTTTTCAACGTTTATTTATTTTTGGGACAGAGAGAGACAGAGCATGAACGGGGGAGGGACAGAGAGAGAGGGAGACACAGAATCGGAAACAGTCTCCAGGCTCTGAGCCATCAGCCCAGAGCCCGACGTGGGGCTCGAACTCCCGGACCGCGAGATCGTGACCTGGCTGAAGTCGGACGCTTAACCGACTGCGCCACCCAGGCGCCCCAATATATATACATATTAATAATACATACTATATGAAATATATAAAAATCTTATAACTGCACATTACATGTGATATGTTACATGATAACATATGTACACCCTGTATGTATCTGTTATATACCTAGATATCTAATATTTGCCATATATTTCAAACATGTATACTATATATATCTAATGCAAAAATAATCTGTTACATATCTCCTATATAACTATATATCACATGTAACATATATAATTCACATGATATATGCTACACAGCAGCATTATCATAGTATGTACACCATGTATAAATGTCTGTTATACGTATATGTCTAATATATACAAAGTGTAACATATCTGTATTCTAGATCTCCTACAACTTGTATTGCACACTGCACTTTTTTTGACATGTGAAAAGTCGTACATATTTAATATGTACAAATCGGTGAGTTAGGGGAGAAGGACACACCCATGAGACCATCATGGCCATATGGTGGCCATATGACCACCGTTAAGGACATAAACATATCCATCTCCTTCCAAAGTTTCCTTCTGTACCCTTTTTTATCAACTTTTTTTTTGTGGCTAAGACTTAACATAGAAAATATAAGCACGTAAAAAATCTGAATCTTGGAGAGCTTTACACAATACAGTATTGTTAGCTATAAGCACAACACTATAAGGCACATCTTCAGAACTTACTCCTTTTGTGTTACGCAAACTCGGCATGCTTTGCGCATCCCTTTGTTGTTATTTTTTTTTTTTCAACGCTTTTTATTTATTTTTGGGACAGAGAGAGACAGAGCATGAACGGGGGAGGGGCAGAGAGAGAGGGAGACACAGAATCGGAAACAGGCTCCAGGCTCCGAGCCATCAGCCCAGAGCCTGACGCGGGGCTTGAACTCACAGACCGCGAGATCATGACCTGGCTGAAGTCGGACGCTTAACCGACTGCGCCACCCAGGCGCCCCAGTTGTTATTTTTTTTAAACCAGACACTAAGGGCCGGCATGTTCACGGTGTGCTCATTGCAGAAGTCTGGGGAAGGATAAGTAAGCACAGATACTCAGCATTTCCTGGGTGGGGGTTCAGGGGGACACCATGGCTGAACTCAACACCATAGTTGAGGTGGGGCTTGAGGCTTGTGTCCCCAGTGGTCTTGGTTTGGGCTGCTTTCCTGAGCATCTCTCTCCATGGCTCTTGCCCCACAGTCTCTGGTTCTGCCAGCTCGGTACATCCAGTTGCAAGTACTTGTCAGATGCTCTCCTCAAGAACAAGAGTTTGACCCATCTGAACCTGAGGAAGAATAACCTGAGAGATGAGGGAGTGAAGTTTCTGTGTAAGGCCCTGAGTCGTCCGGACTGCAGCCTCCAGAACCTGGAGTAAGTTCCATTGCCTCCCTGCCCTTCGGACGATGAGAAGAGACCATGTGAATTGACCTGCAGATGCCTGCATTCCAAATGGGACTGAAGTCCTGGGTGTAGACGTGATGGCTCACACAGAGAAGCTTCGGGCTCTATTGGAAGGGCGTGAGGGGATGGGTTACTGGGATGATTGTTAAGGACCCACCACAATGTGTGCTGGGAGTCCCCAAGACCACCCCAGGAGCTTGATGACTCACAGAGGACTCCACTGTGTGTGCAGTCCAGATTAGTGGCTGTGGTTTATTACAATGAAGGGAGGAAAAGCAAAATTAGTAAAGGGGAAAGGTGCATGGGGTGAAATCCAGAGGAAACCAGGTGCAAACTCCTATAGATGGCATGGGGAGAGGGTTATGCTGTTGTCCTGCCTACTTAATTTCCACCAGGGGTAGATAGAGTACCCAGGGTGTCTCAGACCTCCTGACCAGCACCCTTTTCTTCCCAGGGCTCTGGATGAGAAGTCTCACTTTGGCATCTCTCCTTTCCTTGGGAGACTGTGAGATGGGCTCGGTATATAGAGCAAAGTCTAAGGACTCCAGGATTGTTCTTTTTCCCTTTGTGTTTGTTTTGCAGTTTGTCAGATTGTTCTTTCACAGCGGAAGGCTGTCAGGAGCTTGCTAATGCCCTCCAGCATAATTGTAACATGAAAATTTTGGATATCGGGAGCAATGACATTCAGGATGATGGAGTGAAACACCTGTGTGAGGTCCTAAACCATCCGAAGTGTGCATTGAACACGCTTGGGTGAGTTGACCCTGTTCTCTTTGTAGGAAGCCCCCATCTCTACTTTTGGGGTAGGAAGGAATAGATGGGATCACCTGGGGGTTCAAGAAGGTGGGGAACAAAGGACTAAATTCTCCTGTTAAAAATCTCTTCTCAACAATAAGACTCCAGTTCAGAGACAGAAGTTCATACCACTCACCCCCTCCTTGGAATATTAATACTCTTTTTTTTTTTTTAATTTTTTTTTTCAACGTTTTATTTATTTTTGGGACAGAGAGAGACAGAGCATGAACGGGGGAGGGTCAGAGAGAGAGGGAGACACAGAATCGGAAACAGGCTCCAGGCTCTGAGCCATCAGCCCAGAGCCCGACGCGGGGCTCGAACTCACGGACCGCGAGATCGTGACCTGGCTGAAGTCGGACGCTTAACCGACTGCGCCACCCAGGCGCCCCTATTAATACTCTTTTCAATCGGTACCTTTTGGATAGTAGGTGGGGGGCAGATACAGCCTGTTTCCTGGCCCCAGAGTCTTTTCTGTCTAAGGAGAAGTCTGATTTTAACTATAAGATGATGTGTTTGTTTAGCAAACTAAGATGGTTTAGACTCCAGGAATAGGAGTTTGGGTTAAGTGTGGCTTACATGTTAGCTATTTTTCACATAGGCAGTGATTCTACTCACTCTCAAAAAATGTTAAGAGATTCTACAGTATTTCTTTCTCTGTGGAGACCCCCCCATGTGTGTTTAATGGATGCACCTTGAGGGCATTATACCCATAAGTAAGTCACCAGTTGCTGCTTCTTAGTACATCCTTATCCTCCAAGGAGTATCTTCAGGTGCACAATTCTTTATCCTTCAGGTGAAGGAGAAGCCCTGGGATTTACACAAGTAATTCAGGGTCCTCTTTGTGCCTTAAAAAAGAATGATGGTCTGGTTTTAAGCCCTCACTCTCTAGCTGCTTCTCCCTGGATGCAGAAATGAGTAAAATGTTTGCAACAGCTCTCCTGTTGTCTTTAATGATGAACGCCTGCCTGACACTCAGTTCACTTCCATCTGGTTTCATTCTCCAAAGTAGTAGCCTTAAAGCAGGCACCTGCATGGCTAACTTGTGCTCACAAGGTCCCATCTTTACCATCACACCAGGGTTTCTCAACCTCAGCACTGTGGACACCTTGGGATGAGTAATCCTTTGCTGTAGGTGGTCCTTCATTCTGTATGATGCTGAGCAGCATCTCTGGCTCCCACCCACCAGATGAAATTGTACCTCCCTGCTCTGAAGACTTTGTTCCGTCTACCCTGTGGGGGAGGGGGGGGAATCACCTTTCATTGAGAAACACTGACCTAGATGACCATGGAAATGTTAAAGGTTCACAATCAAGGTCAATAATATACAGTATAAGGTACTGGTTAAAGCCCTGCAGGTGGCGCTAGACTGGAGACAGGGTGCACTTGTGTGATCTTGGAGTCGGTCTTTCTCCTGTCATTCTCTTCCTATCCACCAAGTAGTACCTTTATCTTGAAGCATTCTCTGGATCTTACCCAACCCCTTCCACCCTAAGAAAACCTATTCTTTCTGTCCACTCTTCATGCATCGCAATTTTTTTTCGGAAGGCATTTTTTAAACTTAAGTTCAAGTTAGTCAACATACAGTGTAGTCTTGGCTTCAGGAGTAGAACCCAGTGATTCACCTCAAAATTTTCATGTATGGACACCTGTCACATTATCTTTATAGACTCGGTGGAAATTTCCACTCTGTTAAACTGATGTAACACTTTGTCACTTTCGTCTTTGAACATATGGTTGGCCAGCTCTATTAGGCATACAGATTTTTGTTTTGTTGAATTTAGGAACAAGATGAAAGTGTAGTGAAGAGGTTGTAATCTTATTTTAGTCCTTTCAAGGATCTTCCAAACTCACATCTACTTTTTACAAACATGGTTTCTTTCACAGTTGGGCAGACTAATGTTCTGTTGGCTCATCTGGCAAATGGAGTTTAAGACATTGGCCACCTTTTTATAGGATTGGTATATGAGTAAATGAGTTATGTGTAAGCAGTTGGAGAAGTGTCTGGTGTGTGGCAGGCTCTTCACTGCTTAACCACAGACTTTTTCCTAGATGTGTATCATTTCTGTTTCTAACTTCTCAATCCTAGTGGACCATCTTTCACACTTCCTTCTCACCCACTCCTAGGTTGGAGAAATGCAATCTGACACCTGCTTGCTGCCAGTATCTCTCCTCTGTTCTCAGAAGCAGTAAAAGCCTGTTTAACCTGAACCTTTTGGGGAATAACTTGGAGCCCAGAGGAGTCAGCACACTGTGGAAGGCCTTGAAAAAATCAACCTGCAAACTACAGAAGCTTGGGTAATCCCCACCACCTTTAATGCTGGGAGGCACCTGATAAGAGGGGATGGATGGGCCGATGTTTTATAGCAAGCATCAGATTCACCCTGCATTGGATTTCCTGGAGCAGTGCTGGCCAGCAGAGCCTTTAGTAATGACGGAAACAGTCTATATCTACTGCCCGATAGAATAGCCAGTAGCAGCATGTAGTAACTGGGCACTTGAAATGTGGTTAATGCAACCAAGGAGCTGAATTACTGAAATGGCCACATGTGGATAGTGGCAACCATGCTGGGCAGCACCGTCCTGCAGACATCTGTGTAGTTGAGGAGTCCCCTCATTTTTTGCATTTTTGTACCTACTCAATAATTCAACAACATTTCACTCAATGATACCTTTTTTTAATGCTGACTATGGGCCAAGCATGCCATAGCAGATAGCAGTAAATAAATGGTCATGAGCCTTGCCATCATGGGTCTGCATTCTCCTCAGGGAGAGGACAAATCTGAAATGTATAAAAGCAGTGTTGTCACGAATGCTGGGAAGGAAACTTGGGATTGTGGTAGAAAAACAAGGGTGATCAGAGTGGTACCAGAAGGCATGTCAGAGGTGGTGATGTTGATGCTGAATCCCAAGGAGGCTGGAAGGAGGAATCCACATATCAGGAGGGAAACATGGACAGTGACAAAGGACCAAGAGTGTTTGAAGGAAGCTGGAGTAGCATGTGCAAAGGCTGAGGTTAGACTACCAAGCTCTGTATTGCCCCTTCCAGGCAGTGAAATAAGAGTGTTTAATTAGAACACTCTCCACCTTATTCAGTATTCTGGAGATGAGGTCAGAAAGGTAAGCAGAATTTTCTTTTCCCCTGGAGAAAGACCTTAAACTAGGCATATTTTTGCAGAAATCTCAGATACCAAAGAATCTTGCCTACTTGAGGAAGTTGTTCAAAATCTACACATTCAGGACTTTACATTACCAACTTCACATCTAAGTAATGCACTATTAAAAACATTATATCTCTCTTTCTTGCAGGCTTGAAAAAGAGTTGTACAACATAGTGAAGGGGGAGCTCGAGGAATTGCAGGAGAGGGGGTCCTTTCTGAGAGTCAAGTGTAAGTGGGATTTCAATGACCTTGAGGACAAATGGTGGTGGTGATCCAATGGCTACACTGTGGGATGTTCTTGGAGTAGAATCACCAGGAGATTTCTCAGGTGTTGCTGCTCTTGAGGACAAATGAGCAGTTACCTCCAGAGTGCTTTCCCGCAATTTGTTGTAAGCAGCATATTTAAATACCCAATCTCCAGAATCCTAATCTAATACTACATTTGGCCCCACGAGCCTACATTGGCTTTGTCTTAAGTTTCCTTTTGTCTTTCTTGGTGTAATGTCTTTAACTCTCACATGTTAAGAGAATTCAATAAAGCAAAGGATATAAAAAAAATACCTTGAGAAAGCCTAAAGCCTCATTTCCTATGGATCGAGAGATGGGATAGATGTGACTGTAATTCCGCAGTTATTAAACTGTGGATAAACCAGCCAGATGGAGATCGAGAACCATTCCTACGATGCAGATAGACCCAATTTTGGCTTTTGCGTGTACCTTTGAATGATCCATGGCTGTGTTATGTCTAAAATGTATTTTACTCACCTGAAAATGCTGGGGAACATGGATCCTACCCAAGGATGTAATGTGAAATTGATGTTGTACATGGGAAATACATATGAAGATAGGATCTGATCACAATTTTATCTCCTTTGCCCTATTATTTAATAGGCAAAAGCTATCAGAAGTAGTCTGAGGGAACAGTGGGACATTCATTGCATTTTGCATTTCGTAGCTTATAAAACCTATCATAGTGTGTCTAAATCCACATCAGAGCCCTGTAGGTAGGGACGTCCCTACTTGACTGATTTTGAAAACAAAGATTCTGAGGGTAAATAAATGTTCTACAACAAATTACAGAAATAGTAAGTCAAATAATGAAACTTAGAATCCGAGTCTTCTATTTTAAGAGCCAACATGCCTTATGAGACCCAGTGGGGTCTTGGAGTAAGTCCATGATCCTTCTATCCATCATGTTCCCTCACCGTTAAATATAAGTGAAACCCAGAGTCCTTGAAATAAATCCTTCCTTCTCTTTCTTGTGCATTTTGGTCATTCATCATAGATAAAAGCTGGGATAGTGGGGGGGGGGGAGGTTTATGAACTAAGAAAATCTTGTCAAGGAAGAGAGATTTTAAAATCAAAGGTTTAGATATGCCTTAGTCTCCATGTCTTTAGTTACTGTAGGTTAAAATAGCATTGTGTTATTTCTGATAATCTGACAAACTTTTAACCCCAAATCCAAGAGGATCCCAAAATTTCTTCATTGTGTCTTTGAAAACAAAACATGGGCATATTCTTCTGTGAACATTAGATCTACAAATTCTCTATCAATATTTTCATAATATTTTAGGAATTTATTCTAGAATTTCTGGATGTGCCATGGAATTATTTCAATTACAGCAAAGGTTCTTCACCTTTGGGTCTTCTAACAATGTTGTTTTATTTCAAAGCCACGTAACGCCAAAGTGGCTTTCTAGGGAAATCAAGGATAGGTCTACCCCCATCCCCAGAAGGGAAATGGGATGGGACTGAATGGATTTGGATGAGGTGACAGCTGAGCTACTTCCCCAGGCTCACTGCAGTTTAGGAAGCCCACCACCCAACAAACACTGATTAGCTTGTGACCAATTGTACTCTAATTTCAAGTCCGTGATTATGTGAAAGACCACCTACCACCCCCTCCTTTTTCACACCTGATACTTGGCCATCTTAAAAGTGTGGGTAGACGTGGCCAGGACTATGGTATGGCCGGGGGGGGGGGGGGGGGGGGGGTTAGGCAGGGGTAGTGTAGAGTTATCTAGAAGAAGCACAGAGAATCCCTCTTGTGATGTAATGGAGGGGATGTGGTTGAGTAAAGGATCCCCTGCGTTGAATCTGGCAAGACAAACAGGTTCTATGGAATGGAAACATTCACAGTGGCTTTTGATGATAAAACCACTGCTTCTCAGCTAATGATTTTATACCCTTTAAGCCAATTTTCTCATTACAACTTGGGTCTGATAGCATCAATCTCAGGTTTTGCAAAAATTACACAGAATGATGTGTGAAATGGTCAGTTGTGATAAGCACCTGTAAATGATGCTCTTAGGTTAATAATCTCCTTCAATCCTATCATCTCAAGATCCTCTCTTGCTAACTAGATGCTTCATGGCTCAGTTTTTTTGTCTTATTTTTTTTATCACCTCTGTTGCAGAAACCCTGGCAGGATGCCTTCCCTCTTCTCCACAGATGAGAGATGAAGTGACTTTCTCAGTCTCTTTCTCTTGTGATTTTTATTGTATGGTAAGATGGGCATAACAAAAATTCACTGCTTAGCCATTTTATTTTTTTATTTAAAAAAATTTGTTTTAACGTTTATTTTTGAGACAGGGAGAGACAACATGAATGGGGGAGGGTCAGAGAGAGAGGGAGACACACAGAATCTGAAACAGGCTCCAGGCTCTGAGCTGTCAGCACAGAGCCTGATGCGGGGCTCGAACTCACGGACCGCAAGATCATGACTTGAGCCGAAGTCGGATGCTTAACCGACTGAGCCACGCAGGCACCCCACTTAGCCATTTTAAAGTGAACAGTTCATTGACATTAAGTAGCTTCACACTGTTGTGTAACCATCACCACCATCCATCCCTGGAACTTTATGTCCCCAAACTGAAACTCTGTCCCCATTAAACACTAATTCCCCATTTCTCCCTCCCTCAGCCCCTGGCAACCACTATTCTTTATGTCCCTATGAATTTGACCACCCGAGGAACCTCGAAAAACTGGGATCATACAGTATTTCTTTTTGTTGGCTGACTTAACCTCACTTAGCATAATGCCCTCAAGGTTCATCCATGTTGCAGTAGGTGTCAGAACTTCCTTGCTCTTTAGGAATCCTATTTCACTATGGGTATGGACCACATTGTGCTCATTCCTTTGTCAACAGACATTTGAGTTGCTGACTTTACAAAATCTAACTCCTAAGTGGATGGCAGGAGAGTCCAGAAGTGAAATACTTGTATCCTTAAGCTTTCCTTCCAGTTACCACCCCCTCTCTTCAGTTGGAGGGTTGGAGGTCCTCAGTTGGAGGAGGGGAACAGAAGAGAGTCTTGAAAGCCATAAGGTTCAGCAGGAAGAGGAGGATGGGAGTAGAGTTTGGGGAAGGATGAGAGATGCAATGAGTCATGCAGGGAAATGAGATGAGCAAGGACAGAGAGATGACCCAAAACTTGGAAGGAGGCAGAAGAGAATGACTTCAGTATTGTTTTGGGGACCCTGCTGGGCTTGCAGCTTTGGTTGATGGAGTGACTTTACAACTCTGCAGAGGCTGACTTGTGGTGTCTTCCCTGGTGTTTCTGTACTCGTTAATGTTTTGCTTCGACTTTGTCAATTTATTCCACTGAACAAGCACGACTCAAGAGACTGAATCACAAAGCATTCTTTTTGCCTGACTGTTGAAATTTACTCTCAGATGTGAACTCTTCTCCTGTACCTGGTTAAATACTTGTCCTGGGCCATTTCTTTTTCTTTTTTTAATCATTTAATAGTCTCAATAGCGATAACTTAACAACCTAGTCCCATGCCACAAAACTCAATTGAAACTTTAGGCTCTCCTGAACCGTGATATGGAAGCCCTGTGTCCCAAGAATGGATGCACTCAGAAAGGTGGAAGGCAAGGGAGCAGGAAACGTAGTTACTTGATTGACACAGTGACAGATGGAGCATCTGACCACCGGAGCTGGGTGTTTAAAGCCAGCATTCTTGGAATCAGCAGAACCTTCCCATCAATGGAGAAATACCCATTGGAGAATCTACTGGTGAAGACAGATACATGCTTAGCTCATCTGGTGGCTTATTCCTCCCTGAACCCCTATACATCCCATGAGACCAGTAGCTTATGTTGCTTATATTTGTTATATTGGTTTCACACATTATCTACTGTGTAAAATGCCTTACTGTGCTGGGATTGAGCTCATTTCTTCACGCACAATCTACCCACCTCCCTTGTTAAAATTATCATCCTTCTATTGGTGTCTTATAACCATACGCACTACATGTACATCTCTGGGTGGCTGCCTTAAATATTCCTGTAGGAGAGATTTATAAGGTTGTAGGTTGTAGTGATACATATGATGTCAAATATTAGGATTTTAGGTGGTTTCTATCAATAGATCATTCAAATGACGTACATATATATGAGGCAATTCTATCCCGCTAAAGAAACCACTTTTAGATATATAGAGACCTATGGTTTACAAACTTGTATCTCAACCTTTTGGCATGTGTGTACATACGTATACATGCATACGCCTTTTTTAACCTGACACAGAAGGCATTGTATATATACGTGTTGAACTATACACACATTTCTGTGTATACGTATATATCACGAGTGATCTGTTTTCAGTCTATCCACGTAAGTTTACACACACCTATCAATATGGATAGCCTAACAATGAAAAAACAGTGCATTTGGCGTGGGATCTTCATGTAATTTAAAAAATCAAGGCTATTTTGTTAATGGATGCATTTACATATATGGAAGTATAGAAAGGGGATGGTACTTCGTTTCCTGCCAGATTGCCTGTGGGGTGTCGGAAGAAGGGAATGAGACAGGTTGGTGGTCAAAAGGATCTTCACTTTTAGCTGTACATGTAGGTGGAGGGCTATGGATGACTTATAGCACTTTTCTGGGTGCCTGGGGGGTACAGTCCATTAAACATCGAACTCTTCATTTCAGCTCAGGTCATGATCTCCTGGTTCATGGGTTCGAGCTCCACGTCAGGCTCTGTGTTGACAGCACAGAGCCTGCTTGAGATTCTCTCTCTCCCCCTCTTTCTGCCCCTCCCCTGCTCATTCCTGGGTGCATGCTCTCTCCCTGAAACGTTTAATAAAATAGTACTTTTCAAATCCCATCATGAGGCAAGAGAAGAGAAAGAGCCTGAGTTGGGACACCAGCAGCACAAGCAGAAAAGGGGGACCAGGTTATACCACAGGTCGAATGCTCACAGTATGGGCAGCACCTGTCCAAGCCGTGTAGGGAAAAGACCACAATTTCTATAACCCGCAT